ATGCAGAGGGACATGAATTATCAGCAAACATTCATAAAAAATAAATAAACAACAGTCTGGTCTTATATAACCTATTGTTCCCACCTAAACTATTCAGCCTCTTCTCTCAAGAACTTCTGCCGAGATTTTTGTCAGTTAGCACCCGCCCGGCTATAGCTGGGTTTAATTTATTCTGGTGCTAGGATTTAAAAACTGCAAATAAAATAAAATTATAACGCTTACCTTTCATAGACTGGCAGCTGTCTCAGGTTGGACTGATGACAGCTGGGTTAAGGGCCAAACCTCTGCCACTATTCAGATAAGCAGAGTGTTTGAAGAGAATGGATGGAATTAAAATCAGCAGATGTTGAAGTTTCCTATGCAGTACCCTAAAAAGACCAATAAATGGCGCTATTGTACCATTTGCCCTGTAGAGTAGCTCTGTTATACCTATTCTTCATACTGTTTGTGAGTGTGTTCACCTGTCTTTCCCAGGGTACAAAAGTTGACCAAAAAATGGGCCGAAGAAATCAAATCTATAAGAAAACTTAGATGGAGGTATGCCTTCACGCACGCTCAATCATCCGGGTAAGGAAATCCCAGAAAGTTGATTCTGTTCATGTGTTTTCAGTGGGAGAAATGCTTCGTCATCATCAGGTGACTTCTTCAGTCTCAGCTGACTGCAGGTTTCCAACCTTACAAACAGGACATTTGTAAAATGACCTAAACTAGGACCACTGACTAACCATTGGCCATAAGGTCACTGATATGTCACATGGAGGATGTGGACACGTAAGAGAGAGAAAAACTGTCAACAACTCACTCAAGCAGAGAAAAATATCCTTGCAGAACTTTGCTATGATGCTGAGATTGTGTAACTGATCACAGCCACAGAGTCAGAAATTCAAAACAACGACACCGCAGATGTGAAAGCAACTGTGGATGAAAATGTTGGCCTGTCTCAGCAAAGCAAAGTCCCCAGCATCCAATATCAGCATGGAGGAGAGGAAGGTGCTTACACCGCTTAGTAAGGACGACAACAGCACCATCCAGCAGACTACAGCAGGTGTTGGTTTGCTAAACCACACAGACCTTCATGAGAAACTTTAGCTCAGTGACAAAAATACTAAAAAATACTAAAATATGAACCCTTGAAACAAGACCCAGGTAGTGGTTACAGGAAAAGGGTGATAGATTGTCTTAAGCAGCTGACTTTACTGACCAGACCTCAGACCACAATCACACCAGGGGAGTCTACACCAAGTCTGTATAGTTAACCAAAAAAACAGGGTGCACCTTTAAGACCTCCTCTAAAGCCTGTATGATCAGCTCGGTCACTTGTATCATCTCTTAGTTTCTGGCTTCGATCCTCAACCCATTGGTAGGCAGCTCTGATCACCACATCCAGAACACCCTGGATTGTGTTGAGAAGGTGAGAGATGTCATCATGGAGGCAGATGAAACCACGGTCTCGTACGACGTTACATCTCTCTTCACCATCCCAGTCACGGAAGCGTTGGAGGTAGTTCGTAAGAGATTACAGGATGACCCCAACCTCAGCAGCAGGTCCACTCTCAGCATCCACCAAGTGTGTTTGAACTGTGTCTTCATTCCACCTACTTCACATACAAGGGTCAGTCCTACAGGCAGAAACATGTGTGTGCCATGGGCTCCCCAGTTTCACCCATCGTGGCCAATTTGTCCATGGGAGAAGTGGAAAAGAGGGCTTTGCTATCCTACCCTGGAACACCACCAAGCCATTGGTTCAGATATGTGGATGACACCTGGGTGAAAATCAAATCTCAGGACGTACCACATTTCACGGATCACATTAACTCATCAAATTCACCAGGGAGGATATGAAACGTGTCAGGTTAGCCTTCTTAGACTGTGAGATTTCCATCAGTAATGAGGGACATCTAAAAGCTGACGTGTACCGTAAACCTACACATACGGATCAGTATCTAAGGTTTGACTCTCATCAAACGTCATTATATACTCTCTATTGTAACCCATCCAATATACATTCTGCAAAAAAGAGCATGTAGTTTGTTGTTGCTGTGGTTTACGTGCTGAAAATGGTTTTATTTGTGTATGCTCATGTGTTAGACTGATATATAGTGAAACATGTATGGATCAAATAATGTTCATTTTGGATATGGATTTGAAAATGAAATTTGAAATAGGGGCTAGGAACAGGAAAAGTGTAAACTTCATCCTAATCCTACACATAGTCTGTAGACATAGATATATGCATGAAAACCTGATGATTTTTAAGTTTTGTTTTTGTTTTTTCTCTTGTTATTTCAGTTATATTTGCATGTTTCAAATAAAAATCTATCTATCTATCTATCTATCTATCTATCTATCTATCTATCTATCTATCTATCTATC